AATTGTGAACATACACGCTATTATACGGTTTGAACATCTTTGTTAACTATATAGAATTGATCCTTTCGACCACACATCCCAACTATGACCGCTGCGTTCTCTATGATCACGTTAAACGGAATCGTCATTAAAGCCCCTGTTAAGTAGAGCGCCAGTCGCCAGGCACTGTTCCTGAAACAAGCAAATGATAGCTCATCATAACAAAAGTTTTCGACAAAATGGACTATTCCATATGGATATAGTACTGAAGCAGGTCTCCGGAAAAAAGCAAAAGCAGCTTTCACTTATTCGCTTTCACTGGTAAATTGTTGTTGAAATGTACACTTTCTCTATTTCACTTTTGCATGATAAATACGCCTTGCTATTAACTAGAACGCAGCTTCTTTTAGGATAAGAAGGGATAAGAAAGAGTGCATAATAGTTTTCTTCGAATAATTTGAAAAATACGAAACCTCACAAGTTTCATAAACTTCAATTTTATCATACCTCCATGTTTTTTCCAAAATCAAAACGTTACAAGGAAAAGAAGACCGATGGTTGAAAAAATATAACGTGAGTCAACAGATGATAATATGAACTAGACATGTTGAAGTTGAAATCTGCATAGCTTACCTGTACTTATGCGAAAATGACTTCACCACTCCGAATATATACATGTATAAATTGATAGCACCAACAAATGATAATGCGAAATCGAACGGAAGACAACGAGGAAGCGGAAACAAAGGACAGAGGAACACCTGGAATAGTCGTTAGATCATCAAAATTCCATAAAAGTGTCAATAAGAACTCTCTCACCTGTAGTGATGTCAGTGGCATTGTCGCCCACGCGTATAACGACAAAGCAAGCAATGCCTTAATAGTTACATTTGGAAAAAGTGTAAAAAAAGAAAAAGAAACGGAAGAATCGCGACAGGATACCTTATGTACCAGTGAGATTCGAGGTGAATGAACGGTGAGAAGAATTCCTTGCAACCATCGTTTTCGTTGCTGCAGAAAATCCCACATTGTAAAAGGGCTTTTCTCGTGCATCTCGCCTGCAAATGTATA